CGCCAAAATCCGCGTCCCGCCCGCCCCCGCGTCCGGCGGCCGCGAAACTCGGCAGAGGCACTCCCGCGTACGTCTCGCATCGCCCGCCGTCGGCTGCAGGCGCGCCCAACGCGTTCTCTGCTCGCGGCACGCCGGTCGACGCCGCTGGCCCGACGCCCCGCGACGCCGCCAGCGCGAACTAGCACGTCCCGCAACGCGGGCGTGGCCCTTGGGCACCGCCGTCGTGGCCTGTACGATGCGGCCGCGATGCCGGCGCACGCGGATCGGCCTCGACGAGGGATGTGGCCGCCGCCCGCCCCCGACTTGGCGCCCCGCTCGCGCACCGGCATCGTGCCCGGGCCGCACAGAAACCGCACCACGCACTCCCATGCAACAGGGTGCATCCCCCCGCGGAGTCTCGGGGCGATACGCGAAGATTGAAAATCGCGCATTTTGGGCGATTCCATGGGCGCTCGCACGGCGCGAGCGACAGAAATGCGCGTCCGCGCACAAGCATGCCTCTTCTCGCGGCGGGATTCGGCAGAAGCACTCCCGTGCACTCCCTGCATCGTCCTGCACCGCGTACGGGTGCGTGGGACGGGTGGTTCCGCGGCGGGATGCGGGGGACCGCGTCGTCGAACGCATCAAGACACCCCGGCGCGGTCCTCCGAGCCCCGCACGCGACGAGCACCTTGGAGTCATGCACAGCGCGCAGGTCGTGCACAGCGAGCAAGTCGTGTGTATGCTGCGCAGACGTCGTTCGCGTGCGCTCGTCGCGTGAGGTACGCGTTCGCCTTACCTCGCGTGCGCCCATGCTGACGGCACCCACAGAGTGCCGCCCACCTACCTCCCCGCCGAGCGCCGTCGCCGCCACTCCGCGAACGAGCGCACGAAGCGGGCTAGGGCACCCGGTCGATGCAGCGATGTCCGCCACCGCCGTCCGCGCCGCTCGACACGGCCGCCTCTGTGTATGTAACTACATAGTACCGTTATATACTCGTCTTCAGCCCTCCCGCCTCCTCCCAGACCGCATCTAATGTCCGCGCCGCGCCATCGTTTCCGGGCCGCGTGTGTTGTCGTTGTTCACGTGGCTGTCGCGTACCACGTCAGTCATCCGTGTGCCCGCGCGAGCTCGAGTCTGGAGCGCTCACCTGCCGGTACCGAAGTCTAAAGCGGATCCTGCGAGCGCCACGGAGGTGCGCCTCGGGGCGTGAGGAGCAAGCGGCCTGGGAAGCGCAGATCTGACGAGGTGAGCAGTAGTGCATTCTCGGCGACGGCATTACTCACCGGGGCTCTTGAAGGACCGCTTTAGGAGACATATTCCGCTCGCCGGCCTGTAAAGCAGGTTGAGCACGTCGTATATGGCGGCGAGACACGCACATCAATACATGGTACTCACCGTGTGGCCTGTGGCGCCGCCGTCCTGCGATGGTGGCCTCCTACACCGCGCGTGCAGGCTCGCTGACGCCCCTGCCTCGCGAAGGACATGTCCCGGGACGCGTCTACGTGTTTCTAGAGGTCGCGCGCGAGGGAACAGAGCGCCCGCGGGCGCACGGAGCTTGTACCGTGATACGCACCGTACTGACGTGCGCCGCTACGCGTCGCGGTCATCGGCGGCGACGTGAACTTGCAGCGGCATGTTCCTGCGTGCGGCCGTCGAATAGAGGCAAGTCTCTATGTCTGCGCGAAGCACCGCAAGCGGCGAGATGCAGGCGACCTGGGCAACGAGGATCCAAATGGGTGAGCGACATCGCGTACTCCATGTAGAACAGCCGACTCACCATGTGCAAGGTGGCCTTGGAGGATGCGTACCGTATGTCTATGAGCGGCCCGCGAGATCGTCGTGTGTCGCCTCGAAAACGCGCGGGCACGCTCGGCGACGGACTTGTCCCGGCGCACGTCTGTGTGCGAAAAGAAGTTGCATGAGCTGTGAGCGCGGGGAGGGCGTGCGCAAAGTCGTGCATCCTGCGCGCCCACTCGCGTAGAGCTTGCCGCGTGGTTTTCTCCTGGCGCGACACTCGCCCAGTTGTCCGCGTTGTCGAGGAAGAGCACGGCACGGCACTCGCGACGTCACTCTGGAAGCAACAAACAGGGTCAGTGTGCTCGTACGTGATCCGAGTCTGGGCCGCTATGCTAACCTGGTTGTGTCGCAGGCTCTGCGACTTCCGTCGGCCATCAAGACGGCCTAGCCTCGAATGGTGTGCGCAGCCAGTTGAGGGTTGAAGAAAGCCTGGCAAAACGTCAAGGGAGTCCGCCTTCCACATGATCAGCAGCACGGACTCACCTCGTTTCAAAGGCCTCGTGCTGTTGAGTGCGAGTGTGCACTGCGGGCAGGTCTACGACAATGGGGGGTCAGCGACCGCACTCTGGAAGCACCAAGTACGTACCGGACGGCACCAGGACTGCGCGAAGCCGAGGGCGGTCGGGGACGGAACTGTTACAGGCAGAACGAAGGGTTGTCGCAAGCTGAGGGACGGAGTCGGCGTACGTACGAATGCAAGCGACACGACGGGAAGGAGGGGAGATTTAAGCGAGGCGGCGGAGGCGGAGGCGGAAGGGTGAGTACGCCCGCGTTGCGCGCAGATCCGTACTTATACCACCGTGGTTTAGGGCCGTCTCGCTCCCTTGTCTTCGACGTACCATGGTCCGTGCACCGACTATCTGTCGGAGCCAAGCCGTCCTCCGTCGTATGGATACCGCTCCTTTGCCGATCTTACGAGAAGACCGGAGGGACGCTCCGAGCCCACTGAGTGGCACGCCAACCACGGAGCGACACGACGAGCCGAGGGCAACGGGGTGAGCGGGAATAGGTGCGCACGGATGTACCGCGGGAGGATGAACGTACCTACGCGGCGCGGTGTGATTCCGCGCTGGTCTCGAGGGGCATGCTCGCTTCGGAAAGTGGGCGCTCGGTGAGGAACTGCCTCCGTTTCAAGCGACCGTGGGCACGGCCGTTGTGGGTTCCCCAGTATCCTGTTCCCATACTGGCTGGGGGGGAAGCCCTCCATCTTGGGGCAACTGTCCGAAAGCTCGTAGGCCTCTGCCTGAACTCTCGTAAAATATGAACGTGGGTGCTCCGTTTACAGCGTGAGTGTGATGCAAGAGTCAGCCGGGATAGGTCTGCAATATCGTACTAGTCGGTTTCAGAGCATGTACGCACACCGAGAGTGCCCATGACCAGATCTGTGCGCACAGGAAGGAAACAGTCTAGAATATTCATCATACATTAGTGCATGCTCGTTAGGGTGCAATAATGGAAACGGAAGAGCTAGACAGGAAGTGTGCATCCCGGCAGTGTTGGACTAGCTTGGGGCAGCGGCGACCGCTCGCAGGACCATCCCGATCTCCGTCCCTCGACGGAGATGAAGCTGTTCACAACTTCAAATTGCTGATGCTATCATATATCGGCAATGTAAATAGGCCGTCTCCATGCGCTTGAGAATGCGCTCTCTGGCGTGTGCAGATCCTTGACACCGGCAGATGTGGTAGTACAGGCCTCGAGGATCCGAACGTGCTGGAGCCCACTCGGCTGGTGCGAAAGCGCCGCCCAGCGTGCACAGATGCCTTCTAAGCAGGTTGATACTGCTATGAAAGCGGCGCGAATATTATTGAACTTGAATGGAGCGCATTTCCAATGCATAGCAAAGGCGGCATTCAAGGAGGGTGGAAACTCGGATTGCAATGATGCTGAGGAGATTTGATACGAAAGTAACGCGTGCATCAATAATGCCTCAAGTGTGTGTACCTCACGATTTGATATAAAAGCAGATACATAGCCAGAATGTGCTTCAAGAAGTGCATAAGCAAAGAGGCGAGACCATAGAGAGCAGACGAGGAAGAGCGAGCGCAAACGCGAACACCATGTGCGTTGGGCGGCTCCAATCCTTCTTGCCCAAATAGGCAGGCGCACTCACTCATTTCGGACTCGGTGCTCGCGCTCTATCGTGCGCTCTCTCCACGACCAGGGCTGGTTCTACAATCTAGAAGCGCGACTGCGCGGCGTTCAGTATCCATTTGCGAGTAGCGCGCCCATTACGTCCTCGCGAATCTCGACTGCAGGGCTCAGCTGAGCGTAGCACTGGTCTGATCGGAATCATATCTGAGATCTGAGGGTGCCGCAAACCTTTGTGTGGAGGATACTTCATATCTGCATTGATTTCTACCTGTTATGTTCTACAAATTGGAGCCCCAGATGAATATACTACATGAGAAGCAGAAGTGGAAGTGGCCAGGAAAAACAGAGCGAGGAGCATACTGCTGCACACTCTGGTCTTCCTGGCCATTCCACTTCTGAGGAAGCGAGAGCACCCGGAAAGGGCGGCGGAGCCCTGGACACCCCGCCGGAGTACTGCTGTGTGAATACAATAACCGTGAGCACGGAGACGCGGTCATTTTCGTGTGCATCAGGACGTAAGAATGCAAAATAGTGCACCCAGATTTGGGACACTCCCTGAGCGGCCAGAATCCCGATCACGCCGTATCCACGAGCCTGACGATACTATTGGCCTAGAGTACAGTGAGGTAAGAGACTACATACAGGCGAGCATCAGAGCGCGGCACGCGCAAACCCCGAAATGTCTGCTGCCTCATGACGCGCGCTGTTCCGTACGCGGCACAGCTCGAGATTTTCACCTCCGAGCCCCCCGCTCCGTCCGCATCGTGCGTGGCGAGGGCCGGTGGCATGCCCGCCATCCCTGACTTGGCACACCCACCTAGGCCTGCTCCCGCAGTGTCCAGGCCTCTCACCCGCACTTGGCCTTCTTTCCTCTCCCCCTCACCTTCCCATACCCTGCCTGCCACTGCCATGCCCACCCCATCTCGCCCTCCCGTCCTCTCCCGCCTCAACTGAGCTAGAGACCACGAGCTCGCCGCTCCGCAACGCTTGCGGCAAACAAGGTGAGCACACAACGAACTGTGGTCCCGCGGGCTGCGTGAGACGGACGAGGCTTCAACGCCGTCAATCATCTGGCGAGCTGGCCAGCCACTGACACCGCCTGCACCTCCAGTGCAGCGGGAAACTCAGTTGGCACGAGCTGCCAGTGAAGGGGCGCCGCACATTTTCTGCGTGCGTCCGGCAGTGCGATACAGGGAACTAGTCGAGGGTGCTCGCCCCCGACGCAGTTCCCTGTCTCGCGGTTCCCGCCCGCCGCGGGACACGCCCCTTGCACCCAGACAGCCCTGCGAGCTTGTCGAGTGCAATTCCCAGCCACTGCGCACGCGCACCCTTGGCAAGCCTCTCACTGTTTGTATATGGGGCGCTGTACACTGATGCAGCCCTTCACAGACCACTCATGGGCGCGCAGTCTGCGCCATGTGCGCGCGCCGACTGAGTGACTCACAGGCGGAGAACACGTGTTGTAAACACGCCTGGACGTCTCTCTTACACAACTCAAAGCTTGCGACTCACCCTATCGGTCCCGCTCGTACTCGCCGTGCCGGCGTCGACGCGAGGCATTTCGGAAGAGCGCGACTACTTCCACGGTAGCACGGGAGTCACCTACATTTGTCGCGGGCACGTGTTAGCCGGTCTGGAGCAAGGACGCGAGGACGCGAGGAGGGAGTGCGGGTCGGCGTCTCACCAATGAGCTCGAGAAGGGCACCTGGGTACGTGATGTGATTGTCTTGCACGCGATGCTAGCTCACTTCAGCTATGTTGCAAATATGCAGGTCTGTCGCCGCGAGTGCGGATTGCGATGGCCAGCGTGGATGAAGAAGCCAGGCTCGAGGCTCGTCGTGGGGCAGGGTGAAGGTGCCGCGCGCGACTCCTCGATCGCGCGCGATTCCGATAAGCGCCTTATTTGCCAAGTGCCTCCGCGGCTCACCGAGGCTCACTCCGGCACCGCATCCACTCGTCCTGGACGCGTTGACGGTCGTCCTTTCTCCGCTATGTACTCCTTGTGCTCGACTACTCACATACCGGCTATTACTGGCAACCAGCAAATAACGTGCACGAGCCCGGCGAGCACTTGGACCAAGTCTTTCGTACGACCGGAATTCGAAGCACCCACCGTGAACACGAGCATGCGTTCCGCGTCCGGACCCCGGCACATGCCTTCAAGCTCTTGAGCTTTGCGGCTATGCTGCGAGTTCAAGCCAGACATGGTACGTACCATTGTAGTTCTTATCTTGAGTCGGCAGCTGAACTAGATTTTACAGATGAAGAATTGTCCGTTTAGGAGGCCGGCGGCGCGGCCCGCCATAGTATACTCTGTTACTCGTGGGCTACTGTCATTGCCCGGGAGGGCATCAGAACCGGGGCCGGACGAGCGAGCAAGTCGGAACGACGGCGGCGCGGGACTTTGAAGTTTCGAGCTACGTCGAGATAGGCGCCCGGCGACGTCCAGAAAGGCGGAATCGGCTCGCGGCGTACGTGGCTGCTGTTTGCCTTTCCAAGGTGCTCGCTCACCTTTGATTTTATACAGTCGTTTATCCCGGGACTTACCTAGTTGGCAACCCGACTCCCCCAACACCATACACCCTCTCGCAGGGTTCGATCTCGAACGGCAGGGAGCGGCTGCGAGCCCCCGTTCCGTATCCCAGACATACGTTGCGGAGCGCCCGGCTGGTGCGTGCGACGCAATGGCCAGTGCGAACGAGCGAAAGTGCGTACCGTTTTCTTTTCGCGGATCCGATGTTCCCGCTGACTGGCCCCGCCTGCAGATTGTGCATGCAGGTTGACGTCGGGAGAGGCGGTCGGCGCACGAGGGAAGCGGCGCGAGCGCAGAGTGAGGACGTGGAGCGAAGCAGAGACGCGACGCGTCAAAGCGAAACTCTGACGTCCTTGTCAATTTCGGGCTGCGTCGAAATAGGCGCCCGCGGCCGCTCGATCGCGAAGATGTCTCGCGGGCGCGCAGAGCTCTCTTGAGCCCATACCACCACTCACGCATGCTAGTCCCGACCACGGCGAGCCGGGCGATGGGAATTTACACTACCGGGGGAGACTCTGCGCCGTTCGCGTTCGCGTCTTCCTGTGCTCCCGTTCGCGCGGAACTCCTTCGCAACGATGTGCTTCTGAGAGCGCAGGTGAGCAAGTTGCTCATGTTTTGATCTTTCAGCTAACGTCGAGCCTCACGCAGTCTGGCTGCGCCGCTCAACGGCTTGATTGTGGTCGACGCCCTCGTCAATCCCCCACGGACTCGATCCAGCCTGCTGTGCAAGACGTAGTCCATTCGCGACTGCGGGGTGGCTGCTGCCATCTCCGGAGTGCGCTCTATGAACCGGACGTACACCACATGTCCCGGATGCCACTGGGCGCAGCGCGCGAAAAATACATGGTACGTACCGTCGCGCACAAGCTGTGGCGTCGAACTGGCTTTCTCGGGCCTGCAGGCGCCGCGCGAGGGCCAGACTGCGGTACGCAGTGTCGGAGACGTCCCGAGCGTGTCGAGCGGCTCCGGCTCCCATTGTCAAGTTCGCGCGCACGCGGCGGACACGACAACAGCGAGGAGTTGTCGGTACCGCATGCATCTTCCGGGCGCACTCAACGGACGCGAACGGACGTTGTCGAGGCAGCGGGCGAACGAGCGATGGTGCGTACCGCTTCCTCACGCGTAGCTGGCATTCGACTGACTTACAGAATTTCGCAGGGCACACGCGCGAGGGTTAGAGCACGGTACACCGCATCAGCGATGTCCTAGGCGTGTCGGATGGCTTCCCGGCACGCCGTAAGCGGCATTCGACCTCCGCGCGCACAGCAGGCCCTCTCCATCGACTGGGGCAGGAAAATCACGGTACGAGGTGCACCGGTGCGCGAAGGAGAGTGAGTACGGCGATGTATCTGTTCCCGCAGACCCCAGCTAACTTTCCGGGCTAGCAGACGGCGGAATCGACTCAGAGTGAGCAGGGAGGACGTACCGAGAGCGGAAACCACCCAGAGGCCGAGGGCGACAGCGGCGCGAGACTCTGCAGTCTCGAGTGGTGTCACAATAGGCGCCCGCGTCCCTCGTCCTGCGCGAAGTGTCCTGGACGGCCAGTTTGCGGTCGTTCTGTGCGCCGATTTTTGTTTATATCTGCCTGTATATCCTGTAGTCCACAATACGAGTCCTTCGCGTTTCCCAGCCAGCCCAGAGTGCGAGAACGAGCCCCCTCTCCTCCTCACTTTCCTGCCCATGAGCCACCCATGGAGCCCCCCATAGAGCCCCCTACAGCGTCTACTATGTCCCCAGAAAACACACAGCGCCTACTATACCTCCAGAAAACACGCAGAGTACGTGAATCCATCCGGGAGATCTGAACGGCACACACAGATGCCCGCAAGCGAGATCGTCCGCGCAGGGCACACTCCGCGCCCAAGTCCCCGCCGCCTCTCTCCTCACGCGCGCACCGCCACCGCACACCCACCTGCAAATTCGATTGCGAACGCACTCGCCCGCGCCAGCATTCTCTGTCCCCGCGCACGCCAGTTTGTCTCGGTCGCGAACGAAATATATTCGGTTTCTGTCTATGTACATGCACACCGTCCGCCGCGCCCCGCCTGCCGCGCCCCGCCCGCCGCGCCCCGCCCGACGCAGCCCACACGCCCCGACACACCTCGCCCGCCGCGCCGTGCCGCGTCCACAGCCCGCCATCCGCACGCCCCACGCCCTCCTCCTGGCCTTCCCAGAAGACTGCCGGCCGGATGCTGCGGAGACGGAGGTAGCGCTCGTGGCTACGGACAACGAGGCAGAGTCGCGCGAACTCGTCGCCGGGGTGCTGGCACTGGCATAAGTACCCGAAGAGCTGGAGCCCCGCTTGGGTGTGAAGCTCGACCGAGCACTCGCTGTCCCCGTCTTCTTCGTCGAGTTCTCCGGCGGCGGAGAACCATGCTGCATGTCGTCGCCGCTAGTGACGACGTAATCGGAATCTACGACGCCGTCTGTCGATAGTCCAAGGCCGATGGTCTGACGGTGAGCACTGTCCCTAGACTTCTCCTTCCCACTGAGCGACGCATGCATGCTGGAACGCTTGCTGCTGCGCCCGCCCTCGATACCTTCCCACTGAGTCGTGGTGGAGGCTTT